TAGGGCAGCGTCCAGGGTCAGTCTCGATAAAGCTCCCGGCATCGATGTGATTCCAGGATGCGCTGTCAAACTTGTCCTGGAAAAAGAAACAAAGTTAGTTGTAAACCTTTTCAATGGTATTTTTATTAGAGGGAAAATCCCACGTGTATGGAAGAATAGCAGACTGGTCCTGATCGCCAAAACTGGAAAGGACCCTTCGTCTCCCTCTGCCTACCGTCCGTTGTGCCTGACCAGCAATTGGGTAAAGATTCTTGAATCTGTTATAAATGCCAGAATTATACAGGAAATTGGTCCAGAGGGCCTGTCTGAACACCAATATGGCTTTCGTGCCGGCCGAAGTACGATTCAGGCACTGAAATTGGTTGAAGAATTTCAAGCGGTCGCGAAAATTAAACAAGAGTATAGTCTACTGATTACATTTGACGTCAGAAACGCATTTAATTCACTACGGTGGAAGAATATTAAAAATGCTGCTAGGGGCATGGGTCTTTCAAATTACCTCCTTGCCCTTATTGATGACTATTTATGCGATCGGACTATTAGTTACCAGGTCGAGGGTATGTGGCATCAGGTAAAAATGGAAATGGGTGTTCCCCAAGGCTCGGTTTTGGGCCCCACCCTATGGAACATAACATACGATGGGTTGCTGAGAATCCCGATGAAAAACGGATGTAGACTAGTCGCGTTTGCTGACGGCATCGCGTTACTGGCGCGAGACGGAAATAAGACACTTCTAAAGGAAAAAATAAATAGTACAATAAATAATATTTTTAAATGGCTAACGCTAAACCAACTTACCTTGGCCCCTGAAAAGACTGAAGCTATTACTTTAAACAATAAGCGGCTCGGCCGTATGAGCATACGAATACTTAATACTAAGTTAAAAATATCAACGGAATTAAAATATTTAGGACTCCACTATGATAGAAGTCATAAGTTTAGAGTTCATATAGAATATATTTGTAAAAAAGCTGTCCGGGTTATGTCAGCTTTGGCCCGCATTACCCCTAACGTTGGGGGCCCCGGATATAAAACTGGTCTCACTTACTATTATGTGATGGAGTCGATTTTATTATATGCGGCCCCTATTTGGACATCAGCACTGGAATTAGAATCTAATAGAAATAGACTACAAAATGCACAATGTTTGGGCCTCGGCAGAGTTGTAAAGACCTATCGAACAGGAGCTAGAGAAGTTTTACCGGTATTGGCTGGAGTCCTACCTAACTTACTAAAAGTAAAGGAAAGAAAAGAAATTTTCCACATTGAGACAAGAATAAGAAGAGCTCGTTTAGCGGGTCACGACCTCAGAATTCCGGATGTGAACAGCGAAAAAGCTCGTATTCGTTCGCAAATCATGGCTGAGTGGCAGCGAAGTTGGGATGTAAACCGTAGAGGAAATATTTCTCATAAGTGGATACCAGATATTACAAAATGGATCAAGGCTACACATGGTCAGCTCACGTATCATATGTCCCAAGCGTTCACAGGGCACGGTTGTTTTAATGAGTACAGAAAACGCATCGGGAAGGCGACCTCCGATTTATGCTGGTACGGCTGCAATGAGATTGATGACGCTGAGCACACGTTCATACAATGCCAGAAATGGGCTGAGAACAAACGGAAACTTTGTGAGGAATTAAATACCGGTTTAAATACAATAACTATTGAATATTTGGGTGCTGTGATGATAAGGGACCTGCCGACGTGGAACGTTATAAAGACGTACATAATGAATATCCTGAAAGTGAAAGAGGAGAATGAGCGGGAGCTGGACAAAGCAGCTAGGATGGCTACACCGACAACCTAGCCTCCATAAATGGGCAAGCTCTTCGAGGCGCAACTTCACGTCTCCTACGGCTGGGCGAAGAAATGCTGACGGCGGTCCCGCCCAACAATAGGAGACCTGTATGGTGCAAACAAGGCGAGAAACACCGGAGGAGTTTAGTGAGTAAGAATCTCACACTACCCCTACCCCCTTCTGGGGTAGGGGTGCCTATGCAAGGTTCTCCTTCGGTATAAAAGGTCTGGGTTAAGTCTGTGTTAGGACTGGGTTAGGACTGGGTTATGTCTACACGCACCCGTTTGGTTGTCCAGGCGGCAGGGGAGGTGAACCCCTACGTGGCGCGTCCTCAGGTTGCGGATAGGGGCAGCCGCTGGGATGGGATGCGGGGATGGGGTCATCAACCTGAGAAGGCTGGTGGCTGCATCCTCGCATGGCATCCCGGAGGTCGGAGCGAAAGCTCCCGCGGACCAAACACCGGTATGAATGCGTTGCGCGTGTGAATGTGTGTGTGAGTGGACTGGGGCATGGGATATTTGCCGCGGGTTTGACCTAAGGCCGCAGGGTGGCCAGTTGGCTGCGGGTGTGTCCTGCGGCCAACGTGGCCCCGCGGCCGGCGGCTTAGTCACATGTCACGGGGCCGCGGGCGCTGGTGACCAGGCGCCTGCGGTTGAGTGGAAATGCGGTGGGAGGATTGCCTCTCACCGGGGAGGGCCTGAAAAGGCACGGCTCGTCGAGGGACTCTGTGATGTTTCACTAGAGTTCCCGGTCCCTCGCCAAGCGCTTGAGGATGGTCACCGTGGGGTTTTAGCCGGTAAGAGTCCGGCACTACCCCGGTCTCCCCCCTAGGAGGCCGGGGTGTCCATGAGGATTTCCCCACGTTAAAAGGTCTGGGTTAGGTTCCCTCAGGGGCTGTGTCCGGCAATCGTCGGCCGCAGTACGGGGCGTAGCGACCCCGAGGTACCTGATGCTTATCACACCGTAAGACTCCTGTGGGACGTCGCAACGACCCATTCACAATTCTTTCTTCGGTTTTGTAAATGGTACGTGACGGCAGGAGGAACGGGGGCCTTGGCTTAACCGCCCGGGCCGCGAGTATGGCGACTCTATAAAATCGCCCTCCAATCCTAAGCTATGGTGCGCGGCGATGGGATGCATGGTTGGGGGAGAAGGCCCAATCCCGAGCGACCACCTCCGGGGGCACCTGCCGAACCTCCGGAGTATAAGGCTTCCCCAGGCAAGGCGGCTCTGCCTGGGGTGACCTACATTCCGACCACTCTCGTGGGAACAAACATGGATGACATATCGCAAAAACAAAACAAACGGACTGGAAATTTGGATAACGGACTGGCAAGCGTATCGGCAGACGGCAGTGTCTTGATGGACAATCAAATGGATGGACCATCTCCTGGCGGGTCTAAACCCGCGGTCAGGAGTGTGGAGGTCGTTAATCCCCAAATGGGGATCCACCTTGGGGATGAACTTGACCTTGTTCGGGTCAGCCCCATAGCCATAGTCAGCCTGGAGCGACTAAATACTACCGAGTGGCGTAAGGCTGGGATGGAGTCCCCTCCCCGCAAGAAGCATGATGCTGATGGCCCGCGGTCTTCGGTGGGCCATGCGGCCCTAAGTGGAGTGGAGGCGACATCGTGGGTCGGGGAGACCGTCACACACCTCGACGACGAATCCCAGGACGGCGACGAATGGGCGCCCAATTCTTGCGTCGACGACGAAGCCGACAGCGTCGACTCCAGCGAGGAAGATTATGGGCCAGGTAAGAGGAAGAGGAGGGGCCCAGGGGCTGGAAGACCTAGGGGCATCTTCGTGGACCCAAGAAAGTTGGGTCCCGGGATGAAGGATCTGCCGAAGCAGACAGACCTCCGCAATATAGCGGAGGTCATGAAGTTGGACGAGCTCCTGGGTCGGCTCAAGGAGCAATTGGAGTCCGTCGTCAGGGTGGCAGACACCGCAAGCCACCTTAAGACGACGGACATCCGCGGGCTACGTTTGGCTGCCCGGGTAGCGATGGTCAGCGCCGAGGAGTTGCACGGCAGAGCTGACCGTGCCGAAAACCCGGACAGACCGGCCCGGGAAGTTGTAATTCGCCAGGGCGAATGGGAGAGGAGGGCCAATGCCCTGGAGAAGAGGCTGGAGGTTGCCGATAAAACGGCCACCAGCCTGTCCGAGACCGTCAGGGTTAAGGACAGGGAGCTGGAGCACCTCAGGCGGGAAGTGGGCCGCCTGAGGTACAAGCAGGAGCAGCGGAGGCTGCTGAGAGCGGGAGAGGAGGTGGCTGGTGAGATGCCGCCCGACCACGAGCTGCCCTGTGCCCCTCGGCCACGTCGGAAGGATCTACTTCCGTCAACGTTTGCCGGGGGGGACACCAATATGGAGGTCGAGACGGCGGTCCCTGGACCGTCGTCTGCAGCTCGGCCCGCCCCAACTGAGGAGTGCCCCGAGTCCGGAAAACCTTTGGTGGTCATGATGACCGAAGTCGTGAAAAGGGTTTCCGAGATGGCGGGGCACATATCGGCCGTGGAAGACCGCGTCGAAGCCCGATTGGAAGCAGTGTGGCGGGCTGTGTCCCGCCCGCCACTGGGGAAAGGCCCGGTGCCCCCAACTCCATATGTGGTTCAGGCCCCAACGGTTATTGCGACGGGGCCAGATATGCCTAAGGGCAAGGCGAAGGGGGCCGCGGTGGCGAAACCTGGGGGCGCGTCTGCCCCCGTGAAAGCGCCCGCGGCCCCCCCCGAAGCCAGCCCGGGGGATGAAGGGTGCTGCCAAGGCCCAAGGTGGCACGCTAGCGGCTGGAGGGGCGAAAGTTTCCAAACCATCCGTCCCGAAGTCAAGGCTGCCAGCGAAGGCTGCGCCTGCTCCTCGGCCATCACTTCCCACGACTGGCCGGCCTGCCAAGGATGCCGCGCCGAAGTCCGCCCCTGCCCACGCCAACGATGGACAGGGCACCTGGGCGGAGGTGGTGAAGCGGGGGCGGAAGAAAGGGGGAGGAAATGGTGCGGGTCCTGCCGCACCGCCATCCGCGGGATGCAAATCCTCCGGTGTGAGTCGGCCAGCCGCCAATACTGCGGCTGGCAATAAAAAGAAGGGCGATGCCCAGCCTGCGGCGGTCAAGTTACCGAGGTTGCCGAAAAGTGCAGCAGTCTCGGTGACCGCCGCGACTGGGCGTGAAGGAGATTTGGGCCCCCTCCTCAATAGGGTGATGCCCGAGATCTGCAAAGATCTCGGGATCACCGGGATGCGGCCCACAAGGGCGGTCACCGGGGCGCTCCTTTTAGCGATCCCCGGTGAACAGGGGAGGGAGAAGGCGACCGCCCTGAGGGCGCGTCTTGATGGGGCCCTCCAGGTTGAGGGTGTCCGGGTGGCTTGCCCCCAGAAGCAGGCCGAGTTGAGGGTGTCCGGCCTGTCGGAGGCAGCCACCCAGGGTGCGGTTAGGGAGGCCCTTGCCACCACCGGGGGGTGCGGCGCCACGGAGGTCAACGTTGGTGACCTCCGGCGGGACAGCTCGGGCATGTTCACTGCCTGGGTCTCGCTGTCCCCTTCGCGCCGCAACCAAACTCGCGAAGTCCGGCCGAATAGTGGTCGGCTTCCTCGAAGCACGGGTGGTGGTGCTCCCCAGGAGGCCGCTGCAGTGCCACCGCTGCCTGGAAATAGGTCATGTTCGGCAGCGGTGCACCAGCACCGTAGATCGCAGCGGTCTCTGCTACCGCTGCGGGGAAGCCTCCCACATAGCGAGGGAGTGCACGGCCGCCCCCAAATGCCCCCTTTGTGTGGGCACCGGGCGGCCGGCGGATCATCGTATGGGTGGGGCGGCTTGTCGTCCCCCAAAACGGAAAGGGAAAAAGGGGAATCGGGTGGGTGTGCCCCCATCCGCGCTTCCGGCCAATAGTAGGCCGGCGCCGCAGTCCGTCGCGACTGAGGTTCAGGGGGCGGCTTGTTCCCAGCCGTCCCCAGCTGAGGTGTCGGGAGTTGTCCAAACCCCAGCCTCTATCGCGGCGGCACAGAAGGTAGTGGGGGGCGCACCTGCAACCCAGCCGGTGGCGGAGATGATGGAGGTGGATGTGGCGCCTCACGACTCGGCGCCCTCCACCTCCACGAAATTAGAGGGCGTACTCCCTGGTGGGGGTTCTGCAAAGCCCCCACTATTAAAGGCAGCCCAAACACCGTGCGCGCCAGAGGCCCTGATGAGGGGTGTGATGGCTTCGTACGGCGGCGAGGATCCGGGGGGCGAAAACCCCCAGAAATCAGGAAGGGGAGGCCTGGAGGAGGCTGCGGCTGAGACCAGTTAATGTCTCAACGCCTCCTCCAGGCCAATTTGAACCACTGCCGGGGGGCTCAGGATCTCATGCTCCAAACCCTCCGGCAGTGGAACATTGGACTGGCTGTGATCGCCGAGCCCTATCGGGTCCCCAAGCACCCATGCTGGGTGGGGGATATCGGTGGGGTCTCGGCGATCA